GCCACCTCCAGTACTTCCAGTCTCTTATCAGCACAGGCTGTGTGGTCTCAAAACAGCAGGGAAAGGGGTGTGTTTAAACTTCATGGGGTCGGGGCTCCCCTCTGCCCAGCACCCCACACTTAGGACACCTGCCAGGGCCACTAGTGTCAGGCTACAGTTTGCTAGGGATACATTGACACAGGTTCTTTTAGACTCCTAATTCTAGGAGGGTGACCTTGGAAATGCCCCCACTTTGGCCAACCTACTCTCTCTTCTCCAACAACCTGAACGAACTTGAGCAGACTTTCCAAGTCTATCCATGCATGCTGTGAGGGCAGTGAGGGTTCCCAGGGCCTGACGCCTCCCCTGCAGGCTGTGCGGAGAGGGTGTCTGTGGCTACAGCCTGCAGCACTGTGGCCTGGCTGCAGTGGATGCCTGCAGCCTCTGCTTTGCTGAGGAATTGCGCTGAAGCAGTTTCTAGGTGGAAAGTGTTGGGAGCAGAGGTCAGGAGACCCAGACCTGACCCCCGACACCCCAGTTCAGCCTAAAGCCTGTTGCTGGCTCCACGCTTCTGAGCCACCACTTTCCACTCCAGACAGAGTCCACTACAGGTGACTGATTGGAGAAAGGGTGAGCCGGGCGGTGGTAGCGCTCGCCTTTAAGCCCAGCAGAGGGAGGCAGATCTCTGAGTTCGAGGCCAGCCTGGTCTACAAAGCGAGTTCCAGAACAGCCAGGACTGTTACCCAGAGAAGGCCTGTCTCGAAAAACCGGAGAAAGAAAACGGGGAAATAAAAAAGAAAGAGGCTGACTTAGGAGAGTCAGGGCGGGAGCCTGTCCCATGCCCGCCCCAGCCCAGTGAGTCTTGGCTGGGAAAAGAGGCTCAGGTTAGTAAAGACGCTCTCTGGGCAGTTTCCCACGTGGCCTCTCTTCGCAAAGACGGGAGCCCTCACATCCCTGAAGTCAGGTTTTAGGAAACATCCCATGCTGGCTGCCGGGTCCTGTTCTTCGCCACAATTCCCAGGAGACACGGAGGAAACGAGGATGGGAAACCGGGGACAGAGAATGCAAGTGCCCGTCCAAGGTCAGCCCCTGAGCGGGCTGCGTGGCGGGCGGCGGCTCCTGGCTCGCGTGTGCGAACAAGCGGGGTTCCGGGAGGCGCGCGGGGCCGGGCCGGG